ATTTCGGAACGAAGTAAAAATTGAACGTTTACAGGATTTAGAGGGGAGAATACGGGGGGGGAGGGGAAAAAACGAGAGAAAAGAAAACGGTTGAGCAATAGGTCAGAGGAAACCGTTTAAATTGACCGCCATAGGAAAAAAAAAAAAAAATATATATATACAATATACTATTGCGTCTCTAAGATGATTTTTTCTTCGTACGAGTGCGTCTATATACGCTCGCTTAAATTCTTTTACACAGCAACAGAAACAACAGATCGTAGGTAGGTAGGTAGGTATACGAGATGATTGCGAAAATAACAAAAGTGTTTTTCTCCCCTTGAAATTGCGCGATTGCTGATCATGTAGTAGTATATCAGCTACACAGCGCTCGCGCAACACGCGTTATAGTTCGAATGTTATAATTTTATAGAGTTATAACGACACTGCGCAAGTTGTTACGATTCGCAAGTGTGACGCAATTAAAGAGAGAGAGATGAAAAAAAATTATAAAAACGATCCTTTTTTAAAGACAAAAATTGTTCGGAAGAATCCACAGTAGACGGGGTTCGGGGACGGTGTCGGCAACACATTATGATAATAATTATTATTATTTTAAAGAATATAATTAAATTGTTCATAACAGTTATTCAGAGATAATGTAATATTTCCAACGCAAATGTATATAAAAACGTATAATTCCACTTAGCGAACAATAATACATAATGATTTGAGTACCCCTAACTACATTTTTTTCATTTTTTTCATTTTTTTTTTTTTCTGAACACTTGAAACGCAAACGCGTGCAACATCTAATTTTTTTTATTTTCAAGAGCTGCAATTATACGACCGCATTTAGATAATTATTCGAATGAAAACTAAAAAAAAATTTCACCGTGTTTTTTATAATAAGATAATGAAATATCATCATTACATATATGCGTACGGCATACAGAATGTACTTTTGAAACTTCACCCCAACGTTCTACATAAAACTTTATCAATAATACGCAACTATACACGTTCGTTATAATTTATAACATTGTGTATTATACGATTACATCGAACGACCTTCGCCGTAATGTGCACGTGTATTGGCATATTATTATCGCGTAGATAAAAACTATTAGTTTTCAATAATATAATGTTGTTGTTTTTTTTTTTTTTTTTTTTTTTTTTTTCTCTGTCGAAAATGCGGTACAATCCGATGTCGACTTGGCGCGGCGTTTGTCCGATGCACATTATTACTATTCGTGTAAAGTATATTCGAGTTTGTCTTCAGTATCGAATATCCGTCGTTTTCGGTTGTTATTATTTTTCGTATTTATTTACGTACCTGCGGATTCTGCGCGTTATACTATACGATGTGTTTTTTTTTCCGCCCGGAAAACACAAAACGCTTTTTCGCTTAATGGAAACGCTCCGGAATCGTTTACACGTAACAGGTATAATAATAGATAAACTTATATTTTGAACGACGCGGATTTTTCGTTCGGCGGTACTCTGTTTGAAAAATGTTTCTAAATTCCCAAAAGTTTTATTGTAAAAAAAAAAAAGTTTTTAAAAAACGGACGACAAAATGACGCGGATAAATCGGTTTTATTTTAGTTCAATTCCGGGTTACCGCCTATACCTGACTACAAAAAAAAAAAAACTATTACCATAACCTCGAACCGATTAACCGAGCTTCGCTCAGAATCGTGTTTTGATTGCAATGATTTATCATTGTTCTCAGTTAATAAACAAACTGCAGCATAAATAATTACCCTACATCTTATTGTATACTTCCCGCAGTCCCGCACTTTCCAACTACAACATAATGGGCATAGACCCATTATGCGAAGTTTTTTTTAAACAATTTTTTCCAATCGTCTTAAACAGCGATGTATTGATAGGTACAACTTAGATGCATTACCATTGGTATCGATTCGTATGGTTATTATGTTTCATCAATACAATCGAAATCACTGTCATAATCTGTAATGAATGTATTTTATTCAAAAATAAAATAAAATTTTAAGACTACAAAATATTTATATTTAATTCAATAATATAATACGGAATAATTGGCATCTACATAAAAAAAAAAAAACATGGCATAAAGCGTCCTGAAAGAAGTTCATCAGAACAGCAGGACACAGAACTGAAAAAAGGACAATCCTGCATAAAACAGGACGTATGGTCACCCTATGTTATAAAATAATATAATCGACTGCTTACAGTACACTCGTACGTTTTCAGTCAATTTACTTCCTCTATAAATATATTTTATCCGTATAAAATATTATTCATATCTTTTTTACGAATATTTAAATAATAATAATATTATTAAGGAAATTTAAATTTCCGTGCGGGCACGCACCTGCAGCCGGGAAACGCTGTCACGGTGGTATACGGTTAAAAATATTATAATATTTTTTTTTTTTACCATAACGCCTAAAAATATATTATATTCAATTTAAAAAAAACACAAACCTGTCTAGCCGTTAACGTTACAGTATTGCTCAGTGGCGTATCCTTTAGGGGGGTGTGGGCTAAGAGATTTCAGTTCGTCCCGCCATTGGCCGTGGAAAAAATGCAAACGAAAAACAATATTACAAACTGTTCAACTTACTGACCCGGTAAAACTCACCGAACTAATAAAATGTAATAATATTTGCACGTTTGCACGTTTCCATAATGATAATTAAGTAATTATACGCACCAACTCATAACCGAGTACAAATTAACGATTTCACAATACACCGTACAATTATTATGTATTTCGTACAACATACTCAAAGAAATAACGATTTATTCAAAACAGATTCAGAAACGCGTCGCTTACATTGTTACGTGCAATTTCCGTTTACTGTTTGTTTAACCGACTTTCCCGCCCCCCACGCCATTCTCGCTTGTCGAAAAATCCTGAGTACACCGCCGGTGTGCCCGACGTGTCTTGACTACACGTCACTGGAGCGTAACAGCTATTTTTAATTTTTAAGGAGTAATAACTAGGCATTTTTTGTGGCACGTACAGTGTACACCGACGCGTGAATCGTATCAATCGTATCAAGTCGTATACTACGCGTGCGATCAATCACTACATTATTCCGTCGGACGTTTACTCCCGTGATTGTAACATTATTATCGCCTGTTGAAATCTCAGTCGTATGTTTTTCCCCCGCGGAAAAATAACCAAATGTGACATCCGTTGATTCGTTCGCCGTGCTCATAAAACGCGAATCCCAAAAACGCTTAAACTTCTGAGAAATCGTACCCACGCAAAAAAAAAAAAAAAAAAAATCAATTAAAAATTGCGAAAATCGTATCGCGTGCACTACTATACAAACGCTAATAGTGAAACCAAGTCCGTTTTAAAAATATCATAACCGATAAATTACTATCAATTCACACACGCTGTATTTCGTCTTGCTCGCCTTCTCCCAATTAATGTAAACAATTAATACGTATATACTTACACGCGTTTAACTTTGCTATAAACAACCATCAGAAATAGTTTAAACAATCGGACGATTTTCATCTGATAAAGATCGTACAATACCCTAGTACAAAATGTAATCCGATAAAAATTGATTACGAGAACGAAAAAATTTAAAAATAATAATCTTCGTGCCTAATATAAGTACGAGTATAATCTTTTAATATAAAATTGAATGTCTCTACGTCTGTGCATCTGTACAGTGTAAATACAAATCGACAGTTTCGTTTCGAACTTGACGAAAACTTTGGGCACTATCACTTGACATGCAAAACAATAGAGGAAGGTCGCCGTCTACTTTTATCTTGACACGTAATCCCTAAGGGTTGACTTGATTTTTGATATTCTATTACGAAAAAACCGTTTTTTGTCATTATTGAATTTAATCACAGACAAAAAAGTATCGTTTCAAAGCGGGCGAAAACGATTAACCGCAATAGAGACGAGGGTGGAAACGGAGTGACACTTTAAATTTCTGTTTTTGAAAGGATTGGGCCCGGAAAATACCGGGTGATTTAACCGGCAGGCCATGAAAACAATTTCAAACCTAATACTATCCGGACTGGTAGACAATAATAATTATGTATATACATATATGGACGAATAATAAAAAAAAAAAAAAAACACGACGAATCTAAACTATTTAAACGGGCCATTTAGAATGCACAGTGCGAACCGACGGATTGGTAAATGCATTGAAGTATCAGGTCAGTTGAGATTCGAAAGTAATGATAAATAATATTCACATTCGGAAAAACGATTCTGAGCTTAATATAGGCAGAACGATTGTATACCAACATTCGAAGGGCTTGTGAAAGGAAAATTTTAACGAAGTTTTTGAAAACATCATAAATTACGTAACGAAAATTATAATATTCTGTGGCCATATGCCCGGAATTTTAAACAGGGTAGAAATTCACCGGTTTATGAGTCCAATAATTTTATGGTCATTGACAAAATTTTACATTTTCAATTTCGACTATGTAATAAGTTTAGTTTTTTATCATTCTCAAAAAAAAAAAAAAAAACACCAAAAATATCCTAATTCATAACTCCTTCACAATCGATCCTGTCAAACGGTATTTTCACGAATAATAATATTTATTTTAACTGAATTAGTTTGTTTTATTGTATGTAATAATCCGTTCAAGTTTCACAATTTATATGAGCCCGGACGACACAATGACGTCGAAAACGTTAAATGATGCCAAGCTGCATGAAAACAGTTCTGTAAACTGTATGTTTGATTATTTATTAGTTCTGCAAAATCAGAGTTGGTTATTCAATAGATTACGTTTGATAAAAGTATTCATTTTCCGAATAGATGTGTCCTATCCATACATACGTTATACACTTATACAAGACTCACTTACTTATCACTTACTTTATCGTCAACCGTGGTTATTAGTAAAAATATTTTATATATATATGAAAAATATTATCGTCTTGTTATCATTATTTAATTTGACTGTATCGAAATATTAAATGATAATGTGACTTTTAGCAGCTTTGAAAATTGTACAGAATTAAAATCATTTCAACAACTTATCGATTCAACAACTTTGTGTTTGATAACATTTATTAATTTTACAGAACCGATGGCCAGTTATCGATTGGGTAAAGTTACACGCGACCCGGCGTAAGAACTCACACTAATTATATTACATGTTCTCTAGTCCGTGTTGCGTGGGTAAAACGCGAAAAAGAGACGACGACGAAGCTGTAAACAAAATATTTAATATTGGATGCTAAAAAGTATTAAACAAATTCTCCGGTCTGTTTTTTTTTAGTTTTTTGTAAACTTTTTGGCAATTATCTAAACCTAACCTAACGCACAGTACACTGCACAGATGTTCATAAGACATCTGTGGCGATTACGTTACACGTTGTAGTTACTACAAAATACCGTCGAAATTATCGTCGAGTGGAACCATAATGAATTAATTACACCGAAAGTAACATTTCTAAATTTTCTCTATCGGTCGTGGTTATATAATTCCGAAATACGGTTTTTTTTTTTTTTTGTTTTTAAACCGCTTGTCAATTCAATATCAAATATCTTCGTGAAACGTTTCGAGTGCCTTGAACATCTGTCGGTATATCCGACAAGTATTTAAAATTGCCTATATAAAATCCCTTAAATATAATAATATGTTTAGCAAACAAATTAAGGTACTGTTCGTCTGAATGCATTATTGAGCTTTTATTTCGGGTACGAATTTTCCGCGCAGTTTTTATTCGTATTTATCACGGTTTCGTGCAATATTAAACTGAGAATTTCGATCCGGCCTGTAATATTAAACGAAAAGTATAATGAAAATAGTAAATTATAGACGACGACGGTGTTCATATTCCGTTGATTAATTTGAACACTACTTGTTTTCGAGTATTTATAAATCATAAAAACCGTCAACCGTTCTGTTAAAAGCAAACAGACGTATAGACGTTTTATTCGATGCGCCGAGTACGAACATGTAGATGATCCAAACCGTATGTTTTTTTTTCTTTTTCTGTCCGCTCTGTGTATTCATATTCATATCTCGCACCAAAAGTGTATGTCTAAAAATAAAATAAAAAGAAATATAATATAATATTTCAATAAAACCTGTAAGATTAACACAGAAGATAATACCGGCTAAATCATTTATCGAATACTATCCGATGAATAATATTATACGCTCGTATAATATTTTAAAACCTCTCCTTTCTGATTTATTATGGGATAAGTGATATCCTGAATTACATTAAATGACATTTCGACATATTTTCGAGTAGACATACCCACTTAGAAATATAAATATCGAATCCATCATCCGTTATTTACAATTTGACGGTGAAAACCCGATAAGAATTCATCGTTTTGAAGAAAAAAAATAATTCTGCTATCAAATCAAATACAATAATGTTCGGAATATCGACAGTATTTACATTATAAGACGCGTAGTTTTGTCCGATCCGACCGTATATTATAGTGAGTGACGTACAGACGGGTCACCAAATAATGCGACTGCGAGGCGAGACGGCGGTGTAAAACAAAGGCGTTATCGGTGTCGCGGGGAAACTTAAAAAGGCCCGAAAAGCGTCAAAACGATAGAAAAAACAAGGCGCGAATGGACTTTTTTTTCTTTGCCGTGCGTGCTTTAGAAATTTCACCGTATCTGTCGATGTATATTACGAGTAGGCTATTTTATAACGTTTGTATATTTGGTGACGATACGGGTAGTAATAATATTATTATCTTAATCTACCAAACGAAAAATTAGACGGTATCATCACAAACACATTTGGAATCGCTTTATGGGCAAGCGACATAAAAACATCCTTAATCGCTCGTTTCGAAACTAATGTCCGAATACCGAATAATCCGTTTCCTCCTCTGCAGTGGATTTTTCTCGGCTCGATGAACGACGACTGAAAGCGTTAAAAAAAAAAAAAATAATAAAAAATAGCCGATACTGTCTGCTGAGTGTTGACGGACGTGCCTTTGTTGTACGTGACGGGAAGTTTCGAGTGTAAGATACATACGTAATGTTTTTAACGAATATCCGAGCGCCAACTAGAGAACATTTGAAAAAAAAAAAAAAATCACGGTACATATTATTCTAATATTATGGGTACATAATATACTTTCGCGTTTCGGAAGTGCGGTGGGATAAACGTGGGATTTTCGATTAGAATGCAAATTGATCGGCGGTTCGGTTTAAATAATAATAATAATAATAATAATAATCGATCGAACGTAATTTTTTTTAATTTCCATTTTCGCGCGCAACATTGTGTCAAACTATATTATATTATAATATAATATATTATAATATATTGATGCTTCTCGACCGGTTATAATTTTTTTACCGTCGTCGGATATTAATATTCAATATCCGAAACACGTCCGGGGTTTTCATCACGTCCGCGGTCTGCAATCTTCTAAAAGACACGGTGTTTAGATCGATCGATGCGCGCCGGCGCACGGCCGTGTGTGTACAATAACAAACTGTACGACGACGTGCTAGCCCGTAAAATAATACCGCGAGAAAATGCCGCGCGGAGAATTCAGAAGTTATTTCATTTTTGTACAACATCCGCAGTGTTCGAGCGAACAACAATATTGTATACCTACGAGCATTATAAATTATAATCTGTGTGTTTCACTCGAACGATATCGTCGTTTAGCAACATCGAAAAATCTATCAAACTTATAAAATAGAATTATTGTTTTTAAATTTTAATGGACAACGCCAGTGTTTCTTCCAGGCAACCCCCCGGAGAAAATCTGACGAACAGTAATGAAAATCGGATAGTTATTAGACAAATGTAATTTTCATATCGCGGTGAATCATCTACAATAGAAATGTGATACATGGAAGTCCATTGATTAATATTATGGAAGCTGATGTGGGATACACCCGGCTAAACAGCTTTGTGAAATACTTCTTGTTGTTCCCGTTACCACAGCTTCGGTTGAAAGATTCTTCAGCACAGTGAACAGAGTTCTTACAAAGATAAGAAAAAAAATGCAACCGGGTACCTAAATGCATTGTATGCTTATCAGTATTGAAGGGCCTGACGTTCCAACAGAGAATGTCTAGAACAAAACGGTAGATTTGTAGACGACTAATAAAAATCGCCGAATTCGATTTCTTTAGAAAATATGGAATTAAAAATAATGTTAAATGTTTTTGTTTTGAATTTTTCTTTTTTCTTTTGTACCTACCTATATTTGACTTGACACAGTGTATACCTTAAAAATAAGGTTGATACATAATAATACTATGTGTATGTGTGTAAAACTTGTGAAATGTATTTAATTATATTGTTCACGCCATAATAAGAGGTAACAACTATCATCAAAACATTTATTTTTCTTAATGTAATATGATTGACCCAACTCCCCCCCCATCGATTTTTCAAATGCCCCCCGGAGAAAATTGTCTAAAAAGAAACACCGGACAAAACCGATTATACAATTAATTAATAACGGGAAAATAAAGAAAATGGCAAAGCAGCATTTTATTCGAATTCAAAATATAAATACAAAAGGCTTATGAATTACGACGAGTATAAAATCCTTACGAATTTATTGCAATATCTGAAAGTATAAGGTCACAGATGTCCGGAAATTAAAATTTACGTATTTTAAAATAATGGATTTGTTTAACTGCGATTTAATTAATATTAACTAATTGTTTTATTAGTAACAATAACCTACAGTGCGGACGAAATTATTACACTAAATAATTATTGAGTATGTGTAGCGTATACATTTGCAAATTCGCGCGCAATCTTGTTGATTTTATTTTGTTTTAACTATTTTTTAATTTATCGAAAAACGTGCGCGATCGTGTTCTACCCGGTCGGAGTAGCTTGAATAAGAATTAACGGTTGTTTCGGTACCCGCGGCCGCCACCCAACCCCCGAATCTTCCTTAACAGCCTTCAGTCCATTTCGGCGTCCGTTCGACTGAAATGTTTCGCGTTACCGTTCCAGCGCACACGCCCTGTATTGTATTATAATACACGGTGCGTGCGCGCGAATCCATTACGCGACGCGCGTTCTTGTTTATAAAATATTATACAATAAGGGTTCGGCGATTTATTTTTTTACCGGAAACCGATTTATTTTGAGTACGTTCGCGGGTATACCCGTGTCACAATAAGCGCTATACACGTACGAACCACTGCACTCTGTGTTTCAGCCGCGATAAAAAAAAAAAAAAAATACATTACAACCGGAAACAATCGATAATAAACATCTATACTATACACTGTGTCACTAGTGATGATGGGCACGACCAAACAGTCGCGCTGTCATACCTGCTATGGCCAATCTTTTTATTTGCAAACACTAAACAGTATATTTTGCTGATGGGCCGTATTGTTATTATTGCCGTGTTTGTCTACGGTTCTAACCGTGAGAGCAGGCCGGTTCGCTAAAAGACGTTCGCGCGATAATTTTAGATTAAAATCGATTAATGTCTTGTACGATTTCCATTGATTAAACGTTGATTTTTAAACTTTAATCGTTCCGGTACCTCCGATAACGATTACGGTACACGGTGAAACTATGCCGAGTTGCGCGGACGAGTTTAGTGCAAAACACGTTTACAATAAATTGTCATATTATTATATCGTTCATTTCAACAGCGACGTCGTCGTTAACGTGTAATAAGTGTAGGGTTGGACAGTGGACATTATTATAACGCGCAAAACCGAAATGCGGTTTTTTTTTTTTTTTATAAAATGCCGTTATACTGAAACGTGTGTCACGTCCTTTTGGAAAACTCCGGCGTGTTAATAGAAAAAAAAAAAAAATTAAAAATCCGAAAACACTCGGTGTACGAATTACTCTTATCAGTTATCGATTAATCGTTGCCCGACAGTGGCGTGCGCAGGAGACGGAAGTTAGAGGTTATACCCCACAACCCCCTATCGGCTTAAAAATACAAAAAATATACTTATATCCAGTAGCGTAAAACAGTCTGATATTGAAATGCATACACGGAGGCCAAGCCGCGAAGAAAAATTTGACGAATTGATTGGCTTTTTTTTTTTTTTTCGAGTTCCGGCTGTTACAGGATTACCAACGCCATTGCGGTCGAACCGCACGGAGAAGACTCGCCTTAAAACAATTTATTCGCCGCGTCGCCTCCCGCGAAAGACGGCTGTGCGTCGGTAATGGCTCCGGGCAAACGCCGCGGTTAACACTCGGGTGTCTTTGGCGGAACGTCGCTTATTAATTCGCCGGGCGGCATCAAATAATGTCGACGGCGGAAACGTCGTGGGTGGGGGGGTGGGGACAGCGTACGGGGGTGGGCGAACGGGACGGCGCGATACGCCCCCGCGGGCGGCGGTAGGCAATTACTTAAGCGCTGGAGTGTGTTCGCCGGCCCGGCGCAAACAACGTTCCGGCAAACAAGTACGACGACAGCTCCGCGGCACGACGGCGACGGCGGCCGAACAGACGTGTCCGGGGGAAAAAGTGATCGAGAATCGCTGAGGGGTTTACGCGATAGGGGACGAGGATGTTATTATGTCTATACGCGTGTATATACAGTGCGCACCGTATCAGATCGTCGTTGGTTATTCGAGCGTGCGTGCGAATCTCGGGGCGAAAATACGGGGTTTTTTTTTTATTATTATTTAGCTCTTCAAACGAGCGCACACACCGGACAAAAAAAACACGGTTTTCGGGGTCGTCCCCGGAACCTTTTTTTTTTTTTTTCTTTTTTAATACCGATTCCGTCCCGGATGAAAGAGAAAAAAGATATAACAAATATGAATTCCCTTCCGGATCGCGACGGGGATGAGAAAAAAAAAAAAAAAACAGACGCGTGTGTATATTACAATGCATACTATATAGTGAACCGCCAGTGAGTTATGCACAGTGTACTGATGTAGAATAGGCCCTGACCCGGCAAGAAAGGGTTTTCAAACGACGCGGAAGGAATACGAGTGTAATGGGGTGAGGGGGGGGACAGGAAGACCGAAAAAAGGAGATGGCGGTCAGATACGATTGATATAGTGATACCGATATTATGATGGGGGCGTGCGTGTACGTTATTATTATTATTATTATACGAGACGACGTGGGAGACCGTGTCAGGTGTTGGAGATTTAGGACCGAGAGATGCACTAAAGGCCGCTCCTCGAATAATCGGTGGGAGAATACGTGATGGTACATAACGATAATAAATAATAATAATAATAATCATAAAGGAGAATTACTCGTACATCGATCACAAATAATATTATTGTACGTATAACTTACGTTTGCCGAATATTCGCCGAGAATTGATACTGTTGTACCTTTGGTCCCGAGGATGGAGGGCTGCAATCAATTGTGTATAGTTTTCAATACAAACAAATTCAATTTCAAAAGTTGCCAAACGCGGCATGATTTCCTAAATGCCGTTTTAAAAGGCTTAAAATGTATGACTACATGACTTTGTGTTTTATTGCCAAACAAAATGTACATAATAATATAATATAGTGAATTAGTGACTTAAGATATTTCAATTTTCAGCAAAACATTTGTTAAATACCGTACAGTTAAGTAATTTAGAGAAAATAAAGAGAAAGGGGTTGGAGTTACGTTAGACAAAATAAAAAAAAAAAAAAAATGCCGAAAATTTGACTCGAATCTTTCTTCCCCGGAAACAAAGATATTATGTCTATACGTTTTTTTCTCTGCTTTTAGGCATTTCTATCGGATAACGCGTTCAAACTCGAGAACTTGAGTTGTTTCGTGAACGGATAAAATTTGGGTTGTATTTAAATTAATTAATTTAACCGAACAGGGAGATAAAACGATATGATATTAACGTCTATATCCATGACGTTGTTATTAAGAATGCGCCTTAATTTCAGGGCTTTTAACTTCCAGCCGTACCATTTCGTACAAACCTTACGTACAAAATTGTATCATTTTTTTTAAAAGTATACTAAGTAATCTATAATAATATTGTTATTTATTAATATTTCTATTGTACAAAAAAAAAAGAGAGAGGAGGGGGGGGGGAATATTCGAATCTAATACCGGGACTCTATATTGTAAATAATTTTACATAATAGCATTATATTTTCGCCAAGTATAGGTATATCGTACACACAAAACGTAATAATTTATTGCACAGAGGGTTCAGAAATATCAATTTTGCTCGGTGCGTCGCGATGACTGATGATATTATAATATAATTACAACACGCGATAATTATTATGCTGCAGCGGGCCCCTGAGCGTGCAATATTATTAATATTAAAATATATTGTGCACGACCTGGATGCACTTTGCGGCGAAAAAATTGACGAAAAAAAAAAAACAAAAAAAAAAAAAAAACTCATTAAAATGTATCGTGGATTAACAAAGTGGATTGCACACGAGTGCGCGACCTCTAAACTCGAATCGATCGGTATTATATAATATAATATTATAGTCGCGGGACGTTATAAACTTTTTTTTTTTTTTTATTTTTTGAAAGGGATTAAAAAATAACAAACCGTGGTTTTAACAGCGACAACAATAATAAGCGCTCGTTAAAACACTCTGCGCCGGTCGTAATTTGTATTATTAAAATACTTTTATTGTTTTCGTCGCGTTATTTGTATCATCTTACCTAATAATTATAACGAGCACGAAAATCCGACTAGTTTTTATACCTATAGCCTACCGTTTATAAAATCATAACCGGGGTCCGGGACTTATAGCATTTGATTATTTTTTTGGCTCGTCGTTAAATCAATACCGGACGTTTCCGTAGTAGGGTGGCGGAATTCACCTTACAGTTGACAATGCCATTCGCTCCGTTGGAGGGGATCTGCAGAATACTCTCGCGGTACATCTACCTGTCGTAAGAGGCGACAAACGGGGTCGCGTCAGATCGACATCCGGTGTAAAATTCTGTCAAATCGTACGAGGAGTTCTAAACAAGACTTTTGCGGATTGTCCGATCTCGGATGCGTGCGGGAAAAACAGAC